TCTCTCTTCTAGAGTTGCCCTCCTGCAGGTATAACTGTGGATACAACTTCGGCAGCTGCTCATGTGACTACGACTGTCGTTATTATGGCAACTGTTGCCCTGACTATGATAGTGAGTGCCTATTGATCAGACACTTTAAATGCTGTAAACACAATTACAAATCTTTCCTGTAGAGCATATGAATCATTGCATTTCCTGGGATGAAATGAATTTTGCTGAATCAAAAACTTGGCTTTACTTTTATCTCCTCTCTTTACACAGGCCACTGCTTAACGCCAACAACAACTTTCGAGATAGATACAACAGGAAAAGGTGCTGCTGCTGCCATTCATTTAATTTAAGTGACACTTGTGACATTAAAAAACATATACAAAGCCAGAAATAATTCCAGCTTTGCTTTTCTAACAAAATGTACACACTAATAGGTAAAGTGACTCAATGATGTGTACATCATCACACATATACTGATGATTTCTCTCTGCACTAGCTCCCTCCTGCATGTATAACTGTGGATACTACGCTAGCAGCTGCTCATGCACTTACAACTGTCATTATTATGGGGACTGTTGCCCTGACTACGACAGTAAGTTCCTCTTGATCAGACAGATGCTTTAAGATGAAATAGTGTAAACACAAATACAGATCTTTCATGTGGTCATCGAATTTCAGATGAAAGTAGTAATGAAATGCATTTTGATGAATCATAGCAGAATTGTGGCATTACTTTTCATCCCTTCTCTTTACACAGACTACTGCTCATCGACAAGTGAAACTCCAGTGACCTGGGATGAAACAACAGAAACAGAAACAACAGGTGCTGCTGCTTTTAATTTGAGTGACACTGATGAGATTAATGACATGAAATTGATAAGTTAAATGTGCAAAAAGTTCTTTAAAGGCAGTAATGAGTCCAGAGTGGCTTTTCTAGCAAAATATACACACAGATATTTAACACAATAGCATATATATCACAAACCTATTGATGACATTATGAACATAAAATCTGTTTCTCTCTCTACTATAGCAGGTCCCTCCTGCATGTATTACTGTGGATACCATTTCGGCAGCTGCTCATGCAACTACGGCTGTCAGTTCTATGGCAACTGTTGCTATGACTTTCACTGTAAGTTTCTCAAAAACAGGTGAAACAGCCCTTAACCAGTCTAACATAAACTGTACTAGATTATGTACAGTATAATGTGTGATGCATAAATGTACAAATTATGTTTTGAAGAACGTGCACACTGCCATTTTCCATACAGTGAAAGCGTACTGCGACCAAGGGCTTCATTTGTTTGTAAATTATTATTTATTAAAAGACTTAAACATGATCCTTCTGGTTCATACTCATCCAGTTTTATGTCCTTCTCTTTATTCAGGGTATTGCCCATCATACACAACAACAGGTACTGCTGTCACTAGGTTTTTTGTAATGCCTGAGGCTGAATTCACACAACATTTGTATCTCATTCTGATGACACTTGTTTGTAAGTGTAAGATTGAACACATATCTTTCTTTAGAGACACACCCTGAGTGTGGAGGACACCTGTATGGTTCTGGGCTGTTTTCCAGTCCAAACTACCCCAGCTATTACCATGACAATGCCTACTGTGTGTGGTATCTCTCTGCTCAGCAAGAACAGAGGATATTCCTGACATTTGCTGATGTGCAGTAAGTGAGACATCAGTGGTGACTGGTGCAATGCTGGTGGAATAATATTTGCTATTTGCTAAGTTGATGAAAACATCACATTTATATACACTATAATTTATAATTTAATACCATAGTTTATTTAATATAAAATTTAATGTAATTAATACAATTATTACTAAAAAATAGTTTTTTTGTATTTGTACGAGTAGTGTGATTATTGAGGAATTTTTTTTTACAGTTTATTTATGCAGTACCATTAAAAACCAATTCCAAATGGCTCATTGAATTCTAGAGTGGCTTAAAAAGTTAATCTTTTCTGAATCAGGTACCATTCTGCCTGTTTCTTTCAGATTGGAGCGCTGCTGTGACTGTGACTACATCACAGTATACGACGGCTCTTCCACTGGTCATCCACAGCTGGGAAAGGTCTGCTTCAATGACACCACACCCCAGGTGTTTCACTCTTCTTCACGATACTTGACTGTTGTCTTCAGGAGCGACTACTCTGGTGTCAGCCATGGTTTCAAGGCCCTTTTCACAAGCTCTCTCACTGAAGATCAAGGTAACGCCCTTTAAAAAAAAATGATATGTTCTATGAAGCATAGCTGTCACATGTATTCCATCCTTCCTTTGACCATATTGGAGTTTTCTCTTCACAAAATTAAATGCAGTCCGTAACTTTTTTTGGCTAAAAATGATCTGAAATCAATTTTTGTGCAAGTACATAACCAGCCAGTGTTCAAAACTGTCTCCTTACCTTAGCCCGATTCACAATGGTAAGCTTGTAATGTTTTCTAATTTGAGTGGCACTGGTAGCCAGTGGTAGGTTTTTGCGGCAAATACAAGCATGCCGCCATTCGTCTTTGCGCCATTACGTCATGTCAGTAAATATAAAGAATGAGCGCCGGCAGTAGGCTATATTGCATGTGAGGATGCTTTAGGTGGCGGATCATTTATAGCCTTTTCTCACAGCAGCTGGAATAATTAAACTTTACATTTTGATGGCAGATTGTAATCCAAAAAGGATTATGTGTTAATGAAACACATGTAAATGACTGAAATTAGATTATATTCCAGTTTTAAATGTGCATCCCAGATATGTGGGATTACACAAGATTTGTATTTCAAAGAGAACCAGTTCTAAGGAACATTAATTTGCTTTTTGGGTTAAAAGAACAATTTCTTTATATGAAATTCGAATGGTATGACAATTAGAGATTAGACTGTACAGAAATTGATATTTACAGATAACGCTAATACACTATGTACGTGTTGTCACGTAATGCTGATGTTAATATTAACAATTTGAGAACAAAGTATAACAATAACAATGATATGCACGGTTTGATGTGACATGAGCTAAGTGATCGTTAGATTTAATCACCATTGGTAGCACGATTTATTGTAATGCTTTTTTTCCCACAGTTGGTCAGAACAAAAGTGGCAGACATGTTACTTACTTGTTCAGATGAAAATATCCCGTGAAACTTCTTATTTGGGTCATACTTCCAAAACGTAGAATCTGTGATTCCTAAGTACTGTATCCACACCGGTGTGGTGACTGACAGCCACACATCAAAACATTAGATTCATCTGCACTGAGGAGCTGTGCCAATGCACAACCCAAGTAAAGAAGATAATTCCACAAATAACTACAATTGCAGGTTTCAAACTGAGATAGTGACATAGAGGCAAAACTTACGGACAGCAGCTTTAAATACATACTTTAAATGCTTTACAAAATTACACTGAGGAGATGAAATTCTTTGCTCTGCAGGTCGTGTGGATTGTTCCACAGACAACATGGTCATTGTCATTCAAAGGTCTTACCTGAACTCACTCGGGTTGAGTGCAAATGACCTTTATGTAGATGACCATCTTTGCAGACCCTCCATTAGCAGTACTGAGGTTGTGTTCAGATTCCCACTTGACGCATGTGGGACCGCCAAAGAGGTATGACCTACACATGTGCCAGATCCAGTATGGTTTCAGTGCTGATATAAGGGGTGGTATCTCTGTTTTATTTTGCCAAAACTGAAAATTATCATGTTTACCACACAACATCACCCACCCTCTGTCTCTCTTTCCCTTTAGATGATGAATGGTTATGTGTCATACACCAACAATGTGCGGGCCTCTCAGTCTCAGTCGGGTGAAATCACTCGTCAGTCACAGTTCCTGCTACACGTGGGCTGTCGAATGGAGCCGGACACCATGGTGCAGATATTCTACAAGGCCAGGGAGAACATCAATGCCAACATCACAGGAATGGGCCGCTTCAATGCCAGCATAGCCTTCTACACCTCCAGCAGTTTCTACTATCAAATTTACGACTCTCCATATGAGGTGAACCTGAATCAGTTTCTGTACGTTCAGGTCGAGCTAAACAGGCATGACAACAGTCTGGATCTCTTCCTGGACACATGTGTAGCATCTCCAAATCCCAATGACTTCAAAGATCGCTCCTATGACCTGCTCCGTAATGGGTGAGACCTTTTCATTCTTAAATGTGACTCCCTCCATCATCATATCATATGTAACAGTGGAATCAGTTGGGATCTAGGACAGTATTTCAGTCAGAATTCTGTTGTTCCTAGTCTTAATATGTTCTTCTACTCATTTGCACTAAGAGTTTGACTGTACAGTATATCAAACTGTATCCAAATTGTATTTCTCTTCTTTTGTCTTTTGTAGATGTCACAGAGACAACACATATTATTCCTACACCAGCGGTCATCACTACTACGCTCGGTTCAGATTCCAGGCTTTCAAGTTCCTCCGGACTCACGCCTATGTGTACCTGCAGTGTAAGGTGATCATCTGCCCCAATAACGATTACAACTCTCGCTGCCGGCAAGGCTGCCGCTTCCGTCGCAAGAGATCCCTTGACAGCACCTACCACACCAATACTGTGACGCTGGGACCAATCAAACTCAAAGGTCAGAGGCCATTAACGGCTATCATTTCTAATGAATTTACCTGTCAGTGTTTGATGTATTAATACTGAGATTTTCCTAATGTCTGTCCATTAATTTCTGTATCTGTCAAGGACAAAGGCATGGTGTGAAGGATTCAGAGAAGTCAAAGGAATGAACTGGAATGGAAGGAATGAATAAATCATCTACTTGATCATCAGCTTTATCATTACTATTATCTTTATTAACCACCCAGCAAATGAACCGAAACACAAATTGTATTTCTGCAATTCAATAAAGCATTTCTAAACAGCAGTTCTCATGTTTGCAGGTGTTTATATTCTCTTGCATTCCATTCATTGTGTTTATGTTGCCTGTCTGAAATGAAGAAAGATAATGCAGGGTACAAAAGACAATGACAAACATGGCATTTCTTGCTCAAAACTTGTTTACTGTTACATTTAAATGTTTTAGCAGGTTTGGATGTTATTAATTTCTATATTAAAATTAATTTTGATATTTTTGGTTTAGTAACCAATTCTCACTACATTATTCTAACTTGTTGCTTGTTAGCATGCATATTACTAGCATACTGCCTTTATATTAATACTTATAAAGAACATATTAATGCCTTATTCTGGATGACAATATTTCAGATCCCTTAATCCTATCGAATACCCAAACTTAGTTTACCTAAACGTAGTTAATAGTTAGTTAATAGTGAGAATTGGTCCCCAAACTAAAGTATGACCAAAATAAAGTAAAAAAAAAATGTTGTCAGGGTGAAACAACTGTCCTGATATAAGAACAAAATTCTTAAAAATAAAATCAATATAAAAGATAACCAATATCAAAGGTTCATAACCATAGGACACCTACATGAATACAGAGAGTGCATTTCTAAGAACTTAAGGGATTTCCATTTATTTATCATGGACACCAGTGCCAAGGCCAGATCCTCTAGGACCTCTATTCTGTGCCTCCATCCAATGGTGTTATCATAATAAGCCTATATCAATGTGGGTTTTTGAATTAACAATAAGAATTAGGGTTACAACATCAAACTTAAAGATGCATTTATACTAATTAGAGTTATTATACTTTTAAACTCTCCGGTGCGCTGCTCTGTGGCGACCTGCAGTATGTTTCACATGCGGCGTTTATTGTGTTTGTTTTGTGTTTGTAGTATGTTGGTTTTTTAAAATATATTTTTAAATCGTCTGTAGAAGTGGAGAGGGCCTACGCTTCGCAACTATGGAGTTATATCAGTGGATTACCGGACTTATTGTTTGGATTTTAAAGGTTCCATGTTGTCAAAACTGAAATTTCCTGGCTTTTTTCATGATAACTGAGGTCTAGGTGCTATGTAACTACCATATAAGTTTCAAAACAGTCAATCCACAGTCAAATGCACACAGCCTGCATAAAGTAGCTGTGATTTTTTACGAACCGTTGTGACTTCCGTAAAAAGGTGTCAGAACTACTCAGTCATCGCCTTCAGTCACCACCACTCTCCTTTTGCCAAACCCCAGACAACATCGCGTCCATGCCATTGCTGATCAACAACAACATGGAAACATGTTGAGAAAGCGCTGTTCAGTCTGGATGTCAGGAAACTACATCATTGCACAGTAGGGCTGTGACGGTCGCCGTGACAACCACGTCAACCTGTCTGAGTTCGGCTCAAACATGTCGCCAATCTGGAATCATTTCCATTCATGTCACCCATCCGCATTTGTACAAGTGTCTTCAAGAGACTTGTGTCTTCTTCCTCCTGAGAGAGGAGCTTTAAAAATATATTGAGATGGTTTTTGGTACTTATACCGCAAATATATATTCTTAAGGACATCAAGACTTAAAATAAAACTCCAGAAAGGTGTAAAATATGTGACCTTTAAGCATTAATCTTCTAAAGTGTCGAGAACGTTCCGTCAAGTGAGGTTGAACCAAATGGCTTCACAGTATTTCGAATGGATCGAAACTGATATCACAGCAAAGTCACGTGGTGGTGGAGTGTGCCTGCTTATTAAGGAAAACTGGTGCAGATCAGTGGTGGTGAGCAAATCTCTCTGTACTCCTGATATTGAACTATTGAGTGTTTCACTACGACCTTTTTACCTTTCTCGGGAGTTTACACAGTTGTTTTTTACCGTGGTTTATATACATCCTCAAGCAAACTCAGCTAAAATCTCGGATGTGTTATATCAACTTGCACAAAGACTGGATTTCTTTGTCTCCAGATGCTCCGAAATTTGTTTTAGGAGATTTTAATAACTGTTCTTTAAAAAACAGTTTGAGGACTTATTATCAGTATGTGAACATTTGCACTAGGAAAAATAAGATACTGGACAAGTGTTACGGCAACGTTAAAGATGCTTTTTCAGCCTCCACACTGCCACCACTGGGAGGATCTGATCATAACGTTGTTAATCTTCGACCTAAATATCAAAGACTTTTGGAAAGGAGAAACCTCAGGTGCAAACTCAGCTAAAATCTCGGATGTGTTATATCAACTTGCACAAAGACTGGATTTCTTTGTCTCCAGATGCTCCGAAATTTGTTTTAGGAGATTTTAATAACTGTTCTTTAAAAAACTGTTTGAGGACTTATTATCAGTATGTGGACGTTTGCACTAGGAAAAATAAGATACTGGACAAGTGTTATGGCAACGTTAAAGATGCTTTTTCCGCCTCCACGCTGCCACCACTGGGAGGATCTGATCATAACATTGTTAATCTTCAACCTAAATATCAAAGACTTCTTGAAAGGGAGAAACCTCAGGTAAAGACTGTTAAGATTTGGAATGAAGAGAGTATTATGTGCCTTCAGGGTTGTTTTGAGTGTACTTTGTGAAAAACTTTTGACTGTCTAGATCTGGATACTCATACAATTGTAGTTTCAGATTATATCAATTTTTGTGTGAAGTCAGTTATACACACAAAAACTTATAAAATATTTCCCGTGTGCTGAGCTTCAAAATGCCTAGTGTGAGTACACCCTTAAAGAACAAACACAGGGGAAAATCCACAACAGGAACGTGGAATGACACATGGACATAACTTGTAGACCCGACAAACACTAACTGAACGGACTGGGGCTTATAAACACAGGATAGCGTTAGAGGCTGGAGGCGGAGTCAAGGGATACTCCGGCCACGGCGACGCTGGATGATGGCAGTCCCGCGGCGCTCGCACCATATAGATGGTGGGCTGAGGGCGAGCAGAGAGGCTGCAGACGACAGCGGGGGATGGGCTTAACTCAGGAACGGGAGCCCTCTCTGGGCTTAACTCAGGAACGGGAGCCCTCTCTGGGCTTAACACTGGAACAGGAGCCCTCTCTCCTTCGGAGTCACACAGCCCATGATCCAAAAATAGCTCACCCTCAGCCACGGCGTAGGGGGCAGAGCTCCTCTCCCTCGCGGCGGTCATTGTAGTTGGCTCTCGCACCTGGTCTGACGATCCGTGAGGCTCTGGCTCCGTGGCAATCCTCAGCTCTTTCGCTCTCTTGAGTGATGGCTCGTCGATCGTGATGGGCTTTGGCTCTCTGTCAGCGGCGGGCTCGGGCTCTCGCTCCGTGCAGCGGGGAGATGGTGGGCTGGGCACTGGGTCTGGCCGTGTTCCGGATCGGGGATAAATGCTCTCCAGACACCGGATAATTGCTTCCCTCCAGCATAGTCCAGTGGTGTCTGGGAGGTCGACGGGGCGGTAGTAGTTTGCCCCGATCCAGAACAGTGAGTTCAGCGCACCGTCGTCAAACGCCGTTAAAACGGCGAGTTGGCTGAACTCAACCGCATACTCCAAGAGGGAGAGGTCCTTGCGGGCTAGGGCGGTGAACTTGATGGCGAGGGAATCCATGGAACAACGGAAACAAAAAACACTGGGTAAAAAAACTGAAAACAAAAACGGAGGGTAGACACGGAGTTAACTGTTTTGGTCGGGTCTTCTGTCCCGATTCGCTGCCAGAAGGAACGCAGGAGACGTGGAGAGGCATTAAACAGTCTTTTAATGAACAAACACAGGGGAAAATCCACAACAGGAACGAGGAATGACACACGAACATAACTTGTAGACCCGACAAACACTAACTGAACGGACTGGGGCTTATAAACACAGGATAACGAGGGACTAATCGAGGGGACTAAGGAGACACAACTGGAATTAAATTAACACAATCAACAAGAGGGAGAAACTGGGTCACGGGGAGCAAAACACACAAACAGTCAAGAATCCTGACAGTATTGTCCTACTGTGAAATTTATGTTGTATTGTCTTTTGTGAGAAGCGCATGTTGAAACAAGACACTGAAACAAAATTTCCCCAAGGGGATAAATAAAGTTACTAACTAACTAACTACTAACTAACTAAACTTATACATTTATACTTTTTTGGGTGGCCCAGTGTCACCCTGGCCCTTACGTGGCCTCACTACTAATTAGAAGAGGGTATCATTATGACAGATCAATATCCTAGATCCTGAAACTACACAGGCTAATTGCGAAAATGACACAGCTGGATGCAGTATGTATTTTATATCTGTTGACTCAAAGTTCATGATAGTAGTGTGATAAGAGACTGTAGGACTCTTATCAACGTATAATATAATGACGCCATTATAAAATAAATTTAATTCAACTCAAATAGAGCTGTGGCAGTGCTTCGCTTTTTAAAACACATTTTTGTTTTTTATAATTAGAAATATATTTTGAAATTTAGCCCTTATGTCCTCTACTTATTCTAAAATGCTGTCCTTATTTTGGTGCTATACTTTCATGTTGCTTGTGTAACATTGCAGTCTTATTACTTTCTTTTGTTTCATAAATGAATTTCATATTTTTGTAAAACTGTACATGTTTTTTGTAAGGTAATGGTAAAAACTGAAAGTATGTGTACATTTGTCACATGTATGATCTATTTTGGTTTAGTTTTAGTCAGTGTTGGATTAATGCACGGGCCTACCGGACACAAGCACAAGGCACTAGACCCCAGAACGTGATTTCCATTAAGGGGGAACAGACCCCATAATAAAGCCATGGTTCTAGTGTGTTTTTAGTTCCTTGTTCCTGTGTTTAGTTTGACATCGTTTCCTTTGTTCCCATTTTCCCACCACTCATTTGTTTGTATGGTTACAGATTATGTTCTGTTGCACCTCTTCATTGTTCCCTGTGTATTTAAGCCCTGAGTTCATTTCTGTTCATTGTTTGGTATTGTCTTGTGTTAATGTAAGCTGTTATGCTGCTCTTTATTGCTCTTGTGCTTTCTGGATTGTTGTGTTTATTTTGATTAAAAGGTTGCCACAAATATCTTCATCTTCTCTTCCTTGAAGACCTGAAAATTACAAAATTATGTGTAGGCTAAAATATATTGTAGGTTGTGTGTCAAGTTAAGTCAAGTCACCTTTATTTATATAGAACTTCATACAATACAGATTTTGTCATAGCAGCTTTACAGTGGTAAACAGGAAAATGGTGTGGCAATAATGAAAACAAAATTCAATTCTGCTATAAATCAGCTCTAAAAAGAGGACAATAGTAAGTCAATTTTTCAGTTAAAGGCAGTTCATCATTAATTCAGTGATGTCATTGTCCAGCTCAGTTCAGTTCTCTTTCAATAGTCTTTAACTAATCTTTAACATCTTTAACATAATCACTCCATAATCTCAAACTTTGTGTCAACCGAAATATCTATAAATCAATATAGAGTAATAAAAGTTGCTTAGTATTCAGCTGTGTCTTTTCCATGATTATGCTGCTCTACTGATGTTTCCATCAAAGGCACCAGGATATTAATGTGTAATAAGGAAATCCTCCTTGTGGTTTTGAGTGTATAAATGATGGTTGAAAGAAAAAATTGATCAGAAGAGAAAGATGGAAGCTCTGACTCTCCTTTTCTGTCTGCTTCTAACTGCCTTTCAAGGTAAGATTATTATTCACTGAAGATTGTATATGGTACTGATTGTCCAATATATGAAAAACAGCTGCTAGCTTGAGCATCATATGTGCATAAATTAAACATTTATTGTACATACTGTACAGAAAGACAAGCATTATGTTATATTAAATGTTATGTCTTTATTTCATATTACAGCAAAAACCATTGGGTCATGGACAACAGGTAAATATAATTTAACATTATATAGTGTAAAACATGGCTGTTTTAATTACATTTACATTTAGTCATTTAGCAGACACTTTTATCCAAAGCGACTTACAAATGATGCATACTTTTATATAATGTCGAAACATCAGTTTGCATGATGTATTTATTTTGTTTTTATAGATAGCTGGCTGCATTTCACTGAAGGTTTTTCAGGTATGTATCTGTCTTTCTACAGTATCTGTCTATCTATCCATCCGTACATCTGCCTGTCTGTCTGGGAGGAGCATTAAACCAGAGTACTAAAAACATATACTGTAGTTATTCAGTCTTCAGACTCATCAGAGAATATTATTAGCTGGCAATGGAGGGGGAAAAAATGGTGTTATTGCATTCCTGTTTGCTACAAAAAGAGGATTAAGGAAATTGAGCATTTTATAATTTTTGATTGGACAATTAATATTCAAAATAAGATTATTTTATTATGCTAGAGAGATTGGAATACGTTAATTCACTGATTATCTGATGTTTTTAAGTAGTTTTATTCTCATTTTCCATGTTTATGTGAAGAACCATGTGGTGGCTATATGACAGATTGGAGGGGTGAATTATTCAGTCCCTGGTACCCTAATAACTACCCTAATAATGCACAATGCACCTGGACCATTCATAGCACAGGGAACGCAACTGTGTCATTGATCTTCACCGATGTCGAGTAGGACAGTTTCATTATGCTTTTTTGTCTCTAGATCATTTACACAAAGGAAATTATTTTAATTTACTGAATAAAACAGAATACTAAAAATTGTTACATTCAAGGAAGAACAAATTGCTAAAACTTTTTGTGAAGTATTTTGTAAATAATGTATGTATTTAAATATTTTTGGATGAAATATATGATTGAAAAAGCATACATTTGCACATCTTCCTGCTTTCTAGTTTGGAAACATGCTGTGATTACATCAAAGTATATGATGGTCCTTCTACCCTCCACCCATTTCTGGGAGAAATACAGGAGTACAGGAACCAGTCTTTCAAATCCAGCAGCAATGATCTGACTGTGTTTTTCTACAGTGATCGCAGTATAACACGTAAAGGATTTCATGCAACCTGGCTATTTGTAGGTATGTGTTTGAAAGAGATGTACAGAACTTGATCTGCGATATTATGAATTTCAAACTCTCCCACTGTGCTATGCCAAATTTCTAGTTGTTCTCTCATAATTACACTTGTGACTGACTTTTTATTCTGTTTTCCATCTTCCATCTCTATCTGCAGAATCATGTGGTGGCTATATGACAGACTGGATGGGTGACTTGTCTAGTCCCCGGTACCCTAATAACTACCCTGATAACTCATATTGCAGATGGACCATTCATAGCACAGGGAACATGACAGTGTCACTGACCTTCACCGATGTTGCGTAGGGCACTATTTGAATTTTCTAATTTTGTAACTGAGACTTTTTAGTGAAACTTTCAGATTTTTTTTTTTCAAGAAATCATTGCTACATAATATTAATGTGGACAATATGGTTTCTCTCTGCTCTGTGCTTAATAGTTTGGAAACATGCTGTGATTACATCAAAGTATACGATGGTCCTTCTACCCTCCACCCCTTACTGGGAGAAATACAGGAGTACAGGAACCAGTCTTTCAAATCCAGCAGCAATGATCTGACTGTGCTTTTCTACAGTGACAGTAGTGTAACACATAGAGGATTTCACGCAAACTGGGTCTTTGTAGGTACGTGTTTAAAAGCATGAACAGAACTTGATCTATACTATGAATTTCAATCTTTCCTAGTTTGCTATGGCAACTTGCTATTCATTCTTTGTAAATTATGGTTGGGAAACAAGATATTCAGAGTTCCTTTTCTAAAAATGCCATATTCTTCCACCAATAAGGATTGAACTAAAATACTGTACATTGTCAGTTTCCTGCACTATTATTCAGTGGTGATGTAATATCACAGCTGATTCTGCAGCAGGAAACGTACAGTGACCATTGTAGTCTGATTCCCAAGCAGATGTACTTTTAGTGAATCAGAAACATACAGCAAGACCAGCGCAATCTGATTTCAAAGTAATGATTCTTCTGAGACACACTTAAAAAAAAAAAATCTAAATCACACAGCACTATCACTTCAGTACAAACGATTTTGACGAATAACTTTTATGAGATGGCTATTTTTAGTAGATACAACATACACAACATAGAGTATAACATACAATTTACTGTTATGTATTACTTAATGTAATTACTTAAATTAGTGTAGTTGCTAATTGGATATTCATATGACAACATGTAAAGAAACATCAATTTTGTCTGGAGTATTTTGTAAAAGTAAGTCATTAAAACGTCTGTGAATTTACACCTTTTGCAAGAACTGATTTAAATGTACTTATCAAAATTAATTCATAAATTGTCAGTGAAGTTTCTTTTTTCTTTCTTTTCCTTTTTTTAAACAAACATTTCTTCTTTAAAAGAACCATTTTAAAACTAGAATTGTTAAGTGAAACCAGACAGAATCTCTGAATACTTTACAATTCCCATTCCCACCTGTAAAGACATCCTCCACTTTCATTAAAATTATATGATTTCAAACGTTTCAATCCACAGTAGAGTAGTATGTAATACCTGAGACTAAATACGCATACTGATTATAATGTGTCTGATTGTGAATACACTTGCAACACTAGTTCAGCAACACTTTCATTTTCTTTTTCAATGATTATTTGAATGATTACACAGAGGCTTCCTCAGATGACCCCTGCTACAGCTACACTGTACTGGACGATCCTTGGAGAGCCACTGACTATCAGAATGACTCGGTCTTAATGTGTGACCAGAATGTGAATTGGTCTGGCTGGTATCGTCTCTTCATTCATGGCCAGAGTGTCCAGATGCCAGACACATGTATTGATAAGTACAAATGTGGCACTCATGCCCCACTGTGGTTAAACGGAGGACACCCAGAAGTCGAGGATGGAGTGGTCACCCGAGGTGTCTGTGGTCACTGGCACAATAACTGCTGCTATTACAGTACTACTCCCATTAGAGTGAAAGCCTGTCCAGGCAATTATTATGTCTATGAATTTGTTAGGCCAAGTATCTGTTATTTGGCATACTGTGCAGGTAATCATATTTACATGTGACCTTCATACATCTACATTTGGGTGTCTTTTTATTAATAATTATTCATTATATTTTTTACTTCAGATGTTGGGAACATCAACACCACCTATACAACAATCACACCAGAGACCAATTCATCAGGTAATGTAATGTGCTGCTTAGAGTCTGAAAGGGTTTTTTGTTTGTTTGTTTTACATGATTTCACTTATTACAAGGTTACTTGCCACATAAGTAATTAATCAGACAGAAAATACCGATGTGAGCTGAAATATTTTATTAGCTATTTAAATGAAAAGTTTTTGCAAAGAAAAACTGTTTCTAACAAATAACTTTGAACCTAGAGGAAATTCAGACAAGATTGACATTAAAGGCATAATGTACAGTCATATCACTCATTACACAGCCTTTCACCACATAAACAAAGACAAGGACATAGAATGTTATTTGAGAAGAAAGCATTTTAAAATCTTTTGATAACTGTTTATTATGTTAAATCTATTACAGTGTACAAAACAATTGCTCTCGCAACTGACTCTGTAATCATTTAAAAAAAAAAAAAACATTTCATCAATCTAAACTGAACCAGAGTACTAAAAACATATACCGTAGTTATTCTGTCTTCACATTCCTCTGAGAATATTATTAACTCTGCTAATAGCTAATATTAAATTATTTTAAAACATGAACAAATCCAATACAAATAGAATTAAGCAAATTGAGCCTTTCATCATCTTTAATTGGACAATTAATTTTAAAAATAGATTATTTTTATTATGCTAGAGAGATTGGAATACTTTAATTCACTGATTATCTGATGTTTTTAAGTATTTTTATTCTCATTTTCCATGTTTATGTGAAGAACCATGTGGTGGCTATATGACAGATTGGAGGGGTGAATTATTCAGTCCCTGGTACCCTAATAACTACCCTAATAATGCACAATGCACCTGGACCATTCATAGCACAGGGAACGCAACTGTGTCATTGATCTTCACCGATGTCGAGTAGGACACTTTCATTATGCTTTTTTGTCTCTAGATCATTTACACAGTCAAAGGAAATTATTTTGATTTACTGAATAAAACAGAATACTGAAATTGTTACATTCAAGCAAGTAAAAATTGCTAAAACGTTTTGTGAAGTATTTTGTAAATAATGTATTTAAATATTCTTGGATGAAATATATGATTGAAAAAGCATACATTTGCAAATCTTTCTGCTTTCTGCTTTCAAGTTTGGAAACATGCTGTGATTACATCAAAGTATATGATGGTCCTTCTACCCTCCACCCATTTCTCGGAGAAATACAGGAGTACAGGAACCAGTCTTTCAAATCCAGCAACAATGATCTGACTGTGTTTTTCTACAGTGATCACAGTATAACACGTAAAGGATTTCATGCAACCTGGCTCTTTGTAGGTATGTGTTTGAAAGAGATATATAGAACTGTGATATTATGAATTTCAAACTCTCCCACTGTGCTATGCCAAATTATCTAGTTGTTCTCTCATAATTACACTTGTGACTGGCTTTTTATTCTGTTTTCCATCTTTCATCTCTATGTGCAGAATCATGTGGTGGCTATATGACAGACTGGATGGGTGACTTGTCCAGTCCTCGGTACCCTAATAACTACCCTGATAACTCATATTGCAGATGGACCATTCATAGCACAGGGAACATGACAGTGTCACTGACCTTCACCGATGTTGCGTAGGGCACTATTTGAATTTTCTAATTTTGTAACTGAGACTCTCTAGTGAAACTTTCCGATTTCCCTTTTCCAAGACATCATTGCTACATAATATTAATGTAGATAATATAGTTTCTCTCTGCTCTGTGCTTAATAGTTTGGAAACATGTTGTGATTACATCAAAGTATACGATGGTCCTTCTACCCTCCACCCCTTACTGGGAGAAATACAGGAGTACAGGAACCAGTCTTTCAAATCCAGCAGCAATGATCTGACTGTGCTTTTCTACAGTGACAGTAGTGTAACACATAGAGGATTTCACGCAAACTGGGTCTTTGTAGGTATGTGTTTAAAAACATGAACAGAACTTGATCTATACTATGAATTTCAATCTTTCCTCGTTTGCTATGGCAACTTGCTATTCATTCTTTGTAAATTATGGCTGGGAAATTAGATATTCAGAGTTAAATTTTTTTAAATACTGTATTCTTCCACTGATGAGAATGAAACTAAAATACTGTACATTGTCAGTTTCCTGCACTATTATTCAGTGGTGATGTAATATCACAGCTGAATCTGTAGCAGGAAACGTACAGTGACCATTGTAAACTATTCCCACATAAATCACTTATATGAGCTGGGTTTTTGAGTCAAAAGCGTAAAAAATACATTTGAATTGTATAATAATTTACTTATGAAAACATGTAAAGAAACATTAAAGGGGTCATATGATGCGATTTCAATTTTTCCTTTCTCTTTGGAGTGTTACAAGCTCTTGGTGCATAAAGAAGATCTGTAAAGTTGCAAAGACTAAAGTCTCAAATCCAAAGAGATATTCTTTATAAAAGTTAAGAGTCAACCACTCCTACCTAAAACGGCTCATTCTAACACACCCCCACATACCTACGTCACGATGTTACTTCTTGATAAGAAGTAACATCGTGATAATCGATGATAATTCTTGCTGTTGCTGCCACTGCCATGTCGTGGAGTCGCTGTGTGTTTCGTTGTGAAAGCGAAACTACTTTGTTTGGCCTTCCAAAAGAGAACACAACTAGAAATCAGTGGTTAAGTTGTATTTACAGCACTGTTCCAGAACAGTTCAACCCAAATATTCAGATGTGTGCTGCGCATTTTATGGAGGATGAGGACTGTTTCCTGAACCAGTAGCCTACAACGCGTCTGTGGCACAAAGGCGGTTTCTATAAAGTTGGACAGTTCCAACTTTGCAAGGACAGTCGGGCGCTTCTGACTCACAGCCTGTAAGTACTCAGTGTAGAGTAGGCTTGTTGTTTGTTGTTTCTCCGATCACAAATGCAGACATGGTTTTATGTTTATGCGGCGCGATGCAACGCAACGTGTAAAAAAACAGTATAAGTCATTATAATCAGTAATTATGTCCCCACTGGATGCAACAAATGCCTCATTTGTAATGGGTTTTATTGGTTTTCTCTCGTCCTGCTGGGAGACGGCATCACAGTATGCTAAGGGGCGTAACATTTCCGTCACACGGTTGAGGCATTCGGCCAATCACAACGCACTGGATAGCTAGCCAATCAGAGCACACCTCGCTTTTTTAGAACAATGAGCTTTGTAAAAATCGACGCGTATCAGAAAAACGGGGCATAGAGGAGAAACAATAATTAACATTATATGGAAAATAATGTTTTTTGAACCTTAAACCGTATAAACACATTGCATTACACCAAATACACAAAATAATGTTCTTTTAAGAAGCATCATATGACCCCTTTAATTAAATGAATATGTTCTTTTTAGCAACGTCATATGACCCCTTTAATTTTGTCAGTATGTTTTATAAAAAATAACTAAAAAGTATGTTTAAAAATGTTTACACCTTTTACTATTTATTCTATAAAAGGTTTATTAAATATAAAATATCAACTGGACAAATTAACAAATATGGTTATCCAAACACATGTGCAAGGCATCTTTTTTTGTGAGCACATGCAAGTGCTAGAATATAAAATTTTCACCATTGATCAATAGCATCCATTGTGTAAAATTGGAAAATTGTGGCCTTTTTCTCCACTTTTCCCACATGTCTGGACACTATTCTTGTTATTTCATGCATTTTGGGGCATTGTGATCTCCAGTTTCTCACCCCGAGTGTGGAGGACACCTGTATGGTTCTGGGCTGTTTTCCAGTCCAAACTACCCCAGCTATTACCACGACAATGCTTACTGTGTGTGGTATCTCTCTGCTCAGCAAGGACAGAGGATCTTCCTGACATTTGCTGATGTGCAGTAAGTGAGACATCAGTGGTGACTGGTGCAATGCTGGTGGAATAATATTTGCTATTTGCTAAATTGATGAAAACATCACATTTATATACACTATAATTTAATAATTTAATTTTATACTATAATTTATAATTTAATCTAATACCATAGTTTATTTAATATATAATTTAATTTAATTAATACAATTATAACTAAAAATAGTTTTTTGTATTTGTACGAGTAGTGTGATTATTGAGGAATTTTTTTACAGTTTATTTATGCAGAACCATTAAAAACCAATTCCAAATGGCTCATTGAATTCTAGAGTGGCTTAAAAAGTTAATCTTTTCTGAATCAGGTACCATTCTGCCTGTTTCTTTCAGATTGGAGCGCTGCTGTGACTGTGACTACATCACAGTATACGACGGCTCTTCCACTGGTCATCCACAGCTGGGAAAGGTCTGCTTCAATGACACCACACCCCAGGTGTTTCACTCTTCTTCACGATACTTGACTGTTGTCTTCAGGAGCGACTACTCTGGTGTCAGCCATGGTTTCAAGGCCCTTTTCACAAGCTCTCTGACTGCAGATGAAGGTAATTCCTTGTGAAATCATTTTAAAATATAATCACTTTCAGACAGACAGCTGTAATTATTAAAACCTTCAACACCTTTGTTTTCTAAATTTAAATAAATAATTTAAATGCACAAAATTACATTGAGGGAATGAAATTCTTTGCTCTGCAGGTCATGTGGATTGTTCCTCAGACAAAATGGTCATTGCCATTCAGAGGTCTTACCTGAACTCACTCGGGTTGAGTGGAAATGACCTTTATGTAGATGACCATCTTTGCAGACCCAACATTAGCAGTACTGAGGTTGTGTTCAGCTTCCCACTTGACGCATGTGGGACCGCCAAAGAGGTATGACCTACATGTGTACCAGATCCTGCATGGCTCTAGTGCTGATTTTAGGGGTGGCATCTCTTCTTTTGCCAAAATTGAAAATGACCATGTTTTGACACAACATCGCTCACTCTCTCTCTTTTCTAGATGATGAATGGTTATGTGTCCTACACCAACAATGTGCGGGCCTCCATTAACAGGTATCATTTCTAGTGAATTGTATTAATATTAAGGCTTTTCTAATAACTGTCCATTCACTGTCATTCCAGGCATTGTGTGAAGGAGTCTGAAACGTCAAAGGAATGAAGTGATCATCTCAATCATAACCTTATTCATTACTATTGATCAATCTTTATTAACCACCCAGCAAATTAATCTAAATACAAATGATATTTTTGCAATTCAATAAAGCATGTCTAAAAAGCTGTTCTGGTCACTGGTATCTTCAATGGTTTATTAGGGCCCGAGCACCGATGGTGTGAGGACCCTATTGGAATAGCTCCTGTTGTGTAATGTAAGGAATTTAACTCATTAATTCTTATAAGGGAATTAATTATTATTAATCCATTCAGGGTTTAAAAGGACTCGAATCTGAAAATTCGAGGTCCACCTGATTAAAACTGAATTCCAATTTGATAGTTTACATTTTAAATCAACGGTCGTCCAGCGAGCCGTTAATGTTCATGTATCTTAACCATCTGATTATGGGTATTTTCCTTGGCCACAGGTCAATACAATTATGATAATTTGTAAGCTCCTAGAGAGGTAACGTGATCTTGGCAAGGTTTGACTTTAAAATTATATGACACCAGACAATGATTCTTTATAAATGAAACACGAATTTTATTGGCTATTCTGGATTACATTAAAACTAAGCTAAAACACACACACATACACACAAAGATTCAAGGAAATTAGTTAACGGAGTTGCATGAAGTTTTCTTGGTTCTAACTCGTTTCCACGAGTGGTTTTAAATTCAACCCTGGGACAATCACAAAGCAGAGATTTTCTTATCTTTACTGCTTAACTCAATTCACCAGTTCAGCACCTCTTTCAGGATAAATAAATGAATTCACGTGTTGTAAATCAGTCTGTAGGCCTAAAGCGCACATAGCCCCTAAATTTAGCAATCAACTATGCATATTATAAACTTAACGTTTAATGTACAACATTTTTTTCTATAAAATGATTTTATCTTTGTTACTCTTAGTTATAAAGAATGATAGTACAGTCTTCATGAGTTTGTCTGCATCCATATTGCATGTTTCCTCTCACTTGTAAAGTATGCTTGCAGTTATTTCTAGTTCTTTCAAAGCAGTTCTTTCTGTGTTTCCGCTCACATATTTTTAAATCTGTTTCATTGAGGTTCCAAATAATGTCTCATTGGCTTCGATATAACACCTAGAAGCATATAGCTATTCTTATGCACACATGCAAAGTATGTTGCAGCTGTTATTCTA